CCCCAAAACCCCAAAACCCCAAAACCCCAAAACCCCTTCGTACAAAAAAAAGCTGAAACCGCTTAAATAATTTATTCAAAACTTAATAGTTTAAATGGCAGAGAGATGTGAGAGGGTTTATAAGGAGTTCAACAGGTCTTCGATTTCTTCCATTTCTTGGTTATAGACTCCGTTCATCATTCTTTCTTCATACTTTTTCTTCTTAGCTGCCTTTACCGCTTGATTATAATCATCAAGCTTCTTGAAATCCAACGTTGGAATCAACGATGGCTTCTGAGGATGCTTTGCTGGACTGTCCAATATTGGCAGATAACTAGCATTAAGCTCCTTTGATCTAGCCGTGCTATAATCAAAAGACTTGTTGGACATGCCACATCCATCGAGCTCCTCGAAGAAGTTCTCAGGCAAGGGTTCAAAAGATTCATTCAAATTAACTCTTGTAAGGTTCTTTTGGGAAGAAGACCTAACTGGAGAACTCTTCTTCATCTCCTCATTAAGCTTTTTCAGAGAATTCTTGTACTTAGAAGGCGTCAGGAGGTCAAATCTGTGACTATCAATCGGCTTGACTTCTTCTTGGTATAATTTACTCACTGGGTATCCATTTTTCATGCATAGGAAAATTAAGAAGTTCAGCCTATTTTTCTTCTTTGAAAGATCATCAACTTGTTCCTTATACCTCATAGCTGCGTTGTTTAGCTGATCATTCTCGTTTAGTAAAAGTTTGAAGTTCTGTTTAAGCTTTTCATACTTAGAATGATCTACTTCAGGCTTGTTCTTAGCACTTTCTAGTTTAAGCTTGAGTGATTTGATGCCTGACTTCATCTTTCTAAGTTCTTCAGAGTGCTTCTTACTCTGTTGGTCCATGTCATACTTTCATTTCTTATTAACTTCATCAATTTCTTTCTGGAGAGAATTCCTCACCTCTGCCAATGATTTGTAGTCATCTATCAAAATAGAGTAACTTTTGACAATTTTTCTCTTCTCGAAGCTCTCATCCTGTTGGAAATGCCTCAATGAGTACTTGGAAGAGGAGGAAAGTTCAAGGCACTTCTTGAGTACACAGTCTATTTCAGAAATATGGTTAATACCAACGATACGCTTAATAAAATTTTCGTAAGCTCTCTTTATGTAGGAAAACACATTGTCTCCTTTTGAGTTACTCGAGTGGGCCTTAGATCTCTGACTTTTCTCAATCTCGAGGCTATCTCAATGCTGGATGATCTTGTCAAAGCACTTTGAGAACTTTTGAATCAAGTTTGGACTCACTCTATCATAGTTAAGAATTTTGAAGTCATTAATTTCAGAAGAAAGAATCGCTTCAAACTCATCTAGAAGCTCTCTATCTCTTCCATAATCAGATTTGTCGATATCAGATTTCGTCTTCGGCATGATGTTGATAACTTTCGACTTTGCCTTCTTCTTCAAAGTTGTCTTTATTCTATAAGGACTCTTGAAGCTGTCATCCTTATCAATTGTTAAGGATTTTTGGATATCATTGACATCTTTATCAGATCGTTTACCTATTAATAGTAAAAAAAAGTAAGTTACTCTTGTTCACAGAGGTATTTAAAGGGACCATCAGAGTCCTTAGATTAATGGTTGAACTGAAGCTTTTCTCATTCTTGGACTTAGACATCAAGACAGGTGTCTTGACCTCCTCTAAGTCTGCTTTGTAATCTTTTCAATTGAATTTGTTAGTATTCCTAAATAGAGTAAATTTTCGGTTCTATTACTGGAAGATAGATTCTTAAAATTGAGAATACTTACACTTTGACACAAGGAGTAGTGGCAGCAGTAAATTGGGAGGTAAGACTTCCTCTTTTAAGCTCTCTCATATCTCTCTTAGCAACAGTAGTGAGAGCAGAGTGTATTTCTTCTTGATCATTTAATGGTTTTGATTTCTCTTTCACAGCAAGATTATTCAGTGGTGGCTTCCTAAATTCACAAATAAATACGTAATAAAATTTATGAGGGGTTAGAAAAAGATATTTCACCGACCCTTAACCAAACATTTGGATGGCCAAGAACACTTCTAAAACTAAGCTATTGGAACTCTATCAACACTTGATAGTTTTATTTCCAGACTTATGCCTGGTTAGCAATTTATCAATAAATCCCTCTATGCATTTTTTGGAAAGCTTTGTGAAATTTATTAATAAAACTTAACTAATCTGAATTTCACTAGTAATATACATGAAAATTCACCTGAGGTATAAATATATAAGGATTAAGGCTTTCTGAGCCATTCGTATAATTCTAAAACTCTGGAATAGCTTGGCCATTTCAGAGGTATCTCTGCTCTGATGCAAGAAAATAAACCTCCAATCAGATATGAAGTGCGGAAGAGTAATTCACTGATATTTCGATATTTCTCCTCTCAATGGTTTATAATGTAGGGCATAACTAAACCAAAACTGAGAACTATTAGCATAAGAAGAGGGCCAAAGATTTTATTGGGAGAAGCATAATACTAATTCCAAGAATATGTCCTTGAACTAAACAACTCCCTCATGACCTCTTTGGAGGTGGTAAGATGCTGAAAATTATGCAAAACGTTCTTTCTGAGCGATGACACAGAAATTAGTAATTCAGGCTCAGAATTTGGGGCTGAGTGAGACACTTACGGGATATTAACAATCTTGCTGGTGACATACTTATCTGTAAGAAGGATTAGCTCAGGATCGAAAATATCAGGATAGAAGAATAGTAGCAGATGCTTCCATTAGAAATCAAATTTTCGCAGATGTTTTTCCAAAAGATGTAAAAATCTTACCATTTTTGAGCTTCTTCATGTGCTTTACCTTTGAAGTTTGTTTCTTTGTGCCTTTGAGAGAAGGAAGTATTGAATTAGTGCCGCTTCTCTTGAGCATTGACTGGGAGAGACTTCTCACACCAAAAGTTTTGTTGAAGTTCTTGAGCGCGAGAGGAGAGCTTTTTCATTCCTTTTTATTCACTCCTACTTTGGTAATCTTGGGAGTTCTACTTAACCTAGAGCCGATTAGAACAAATTATGAGAAAATAAATTAACCAAGTGGTAGTTTTGCTGCAATAAAAGCTGGTTTATTTTTAACTTTGCTTTTATGGGTCTAAGTCAAAGAGACAAAAACCTAAAATTCTCGGTACAATAATTGGTTTATATAGAGTATTATTTGCACAAAATAAAGGATGCTCTAACTCTTACTATTCGATGTGGCAACACTCCATCTCCTCAAACTACATCTAAAAATCCATCGATTTCCAAATATGTTTCCCTCCCGTAGAAACCCTGTAGATTTCTCAAAGGGGCTCTTATTTTGCTATTTTTGTTATATGGGCCATTCCAATTTTCCCATGCTTACTAATATTCATCAAAATTTTCCAATGATTAGTACAAATTGACTCTAAACTGACCAGTAGCGTCTGAAAATGATTTTCACAGGTATTCTTAGCTATTAATCTCCAATGGAAACCAAGATTTCGAAGAGAACTCCTAAATTTACTAAGAAGAGCAGCTAGATTAGCAGAAAACTTAGGTAGAAGTAGTAAAGTGTCGCTGGAATTTGGTCTTACTCTATATTTGAAGGAGTCTCAGTGGGCTCTATTAAAAGAGATTTCAAGTTTCTTCTATTAAGCAGATTGCTTATGTCACCTGTAGCTGACTTTAACATGTTGTTATCTGGATTATTAATTATATAACTATTATCAATAAGAATGTTCCTCTATGGGGTTTTGGGGTTTTGGGGTTTTGGGGTTTTGGGG